TTGTTGCACTTCTCTGAACTCAAATAAAGAAACAGAGCTTTAAAAGGAAACAGAGCTTTGCAAAGAACAATAGACTGAAAAACTATTGTACTGAAATTAACTTGGTTTGGTCGTTTATAAAGACCTTACAACTAAAAAGGAGAAACTTGCGCGAATGAATCAAAACACATAACCAACTAGTCAATCTCCTACTACTACGGAGGACTTATTAGACAACTTCAAACTTCAAACCACTCTAAGTGGACTCCGATCTGCAGGCCCAAGCCATATTGGGCTTTATTCTTCAGATCCCGATCTGGTGGCTCCGAACGATGGGAGGTCGAGGCTGGATTCTTCATCCTCACACTGTGAGCGGTGGCTATGTCTTTAAAAGAGCGAGCTCTCACCGGCGGTGAAGATCCGGACGGCGGAGAAAGAGAACAAGACGAGAATCGCGGTCGCAGCTTTCGAAATTGCACGAAAACATCACCTTTTTGGTGAGATAGTTTTTCGAGTAAACTCAGGTGGGATCCTAAGAGTAAGAAGCATGGTTTTTCAGAGAACACATCCGGCAGAGAAGATCGATGCATCCATGATCAAAGATTGAAGAAGCGGTGCCTTGTGTCTCGAACCAAAGAGAAAACCACTCTAGGGCGTACTCTAACGGTGTTTGTCTTTTTTTCCCATCATCACTATTCTATTGCACTTGAATTAAACACTAACATAATCATAGAAAACCAACAATATTATATTCTCTCATTACAGCATTATTTAAATCAAGAAAATGATACATTATCCCCTCATTAATCATCATAATAAGCCACCAGAAACATTTATTTGTTTTAAAACGCATGATTAAATCAATTTAATCAAGCAGTGGAAGTGAAATTGAAATTAGCACAATTAGTACGACGACCCAATAACGTGGAACTAAACCCAAATCTATTACTCGCCAAATCAAACTCGACCAAATTATCTTCCAATTGAAACCCTCCGATTACCACAGAGGTTCTCGCGTTGACTCCTCCGTCAACGAAACCCAAACAGATGACGTCATTTCTGACGCTCACCATCGAGTTAGCTCCAAAAATCCTCCAAACGACGTCGTTGCTCTGAAGCACAAGCTGGATCTCCGGCACGGCGTAACCCACGCGCGTGACGCCGACGTTCGCGGTGCTGAAACACGCGCCGAACGGTTTCACCGACGAAACTCGACTGATGTTCCTCGCCGCGGCTGATTTGACGAACGCCGATGTGAACGCGTTGAAAATCGATGTCTCCATCACCGTGTAAGGATTCACCGTGCTGATTTTGGTTCCTCTGAATCCGGTAGCACCGTCGATTTTCAAAAGCGTTTTGTTGAACGGAACAGATTTATCGGAGATTTTGATGTCCGTCACGCCGATGAAATACTCGGAGGATTTCTCGCCTTGTGTATACGCAGAAGCAGTACTCACCGGATTAATAATCAACGGTGTGGTGGTTAACCGGGAAATCTCGATTCCAGGGAGGAAATTGTAAGAAACGTTACCGAAGAAGGCGACGCCTCTACCGGAACTGAGACAAACAGCAAATTTCCGTTTTAAGCTAAACGCGGCGGCGAATTGCGACGGTAAACCGACGTTGTGTCGTCCCATACCGGCTAAACCGACGGTTCCTTTAGCGAGTCCTTTAAGTAGAAACGTTGCTCCGCAATCGAAAATCAAATTAGGGATTTTAACGACCCGACCCGGATTCGACCCGTCAGTTGACTGAATCGAAACAACGTCTGTGGCGATTTCGCCGGTGGTTGCCCATCCGGTGACGGAGTTGTCTGGGATTGAGCTGCAAGTGTTGTTGTTACATCCAGGTCTCGGAGGAGAGAAACATGTGCCGCAGCCATTTGAGGCGGCGCGGGTGCAGACGGCGGAGTTGCAGCGAGCGGATTTGTATGTGGAGGAGACGTAATCTTTATCGCAATCGACCCAGAAATCTCGACCACCGAGGTCGAAGACGACGGAGGCGGCGACGAGAGGTGTGCGTTGGTTGATTACGGTTATGTATTGGAGGGTTGGTTTGTCTTTAGTGACTGGGAGGATGAGAGCTTTTGGACGGAATGATGGTTGAGTAAGTGAGGTT